ATCATGGCCGGGCAAACACGCTCCTTGCGGTGCAGGTGATAGCCGAAGGACTGAAGGAATGATACAGGAAAGATATATAAAGTTCAGCATCCAGCCACGGTGGTATGGGGGCTGGCTCCACCAGTGCACGCCGAAGATACCACGGCGAATTTACGCGCCAATCGTACTAAGTGAGGCTTGCTGGGCATGTGGAGTTGCTGGTTCGGGCCTTTACCACTGGCATATCCCGCCGACGTCATGGGCATGGGAAAACATGCCACTCATATCTGCAACATGAGATACATTCCATTCGGGGGGCTGATTAACTGATTCCGCGATAAACAACATGCCACTCATATCTCGATTGGAGCCGACTGAAGCCGACTGGATACATCTGAGGCCCCCCGGGGCCCTGTGGCGGGATTTCCGGAGTCCGCATTCAATATCTACCTTGATTGGGAATCAGGGCTGCTTAGCAGCCCCATCTCACTTTTCCATTTTCTCACTTTTCCATTTTCAGTCTAAGTCAGGAACACCGCCATTTCCCCTCAAGGCAGTGCAGTGCATGTATAGCGGATCACCCACTGGCCTACGTACGGCGAGGGCCAGATGCGACCGAGCCGCTCGCGGATCTGTGCGATTTGCGCAGGGCAAATCTGCCCATCCTGCAGTTTGGACAGCAGGCCGTGGAGTGCGATATCCTTCGCGAGTGCTCTCATGCTCTCCAGATAGGCAGCTCGCTTGTCGGACCCCGGTTCGCCGCAGGCACAAGGGCCCAGGAGGCCGTAGGCGGCGCTGTAGTGCTTGGTCCATAACCGCCACCCGCAGGCCAAGTTTGAATAGCCGCGCCGCTCAGCACCGTCTGCGGGCAGCACTACCGCGCGAAATTACCACCAACCAACACGAAACGCAGCAGAAAGTATCGCACAAGCACCACGGACCGGGGCGTGCCCGCAACAGCCCGCACGCGCAACGCACAGCTGCAACGGCAGCTGCCAAAAGTTGTGCCAGAGCAAACCAGCAACAAATCGAATAGTTAGGATCGACATGTCAACTTACGACCCGTGTTTTGAATGGCGTTGCCCCCCGGTCCTATTCCCGCAATCTAATTGCCATCGGCACCGCGCCCAGACTACCTGACATAGCCCCGCCTGAGGTTACCAGTGAGGTACGTTCCAAGCTCCCTTGTGTTCGCGGCGCGGGCCACTGCGCCGGGAAGTCGCCCAAGAGGCGCCTTTGATAACGAGACGCCAGATGGGGCGAAAAGAGGCCTAGGGCCGGGTTTCAACGAGTCCCTGCTTCTCTGTGTAAAATTCGCCAATGTCTCCCAAGTAGCTTGTTGACATGGTTATTTTGAGAAGATGAGTGGACCTATCTTTCAAGTAGAATCGGTTTCGAGGATCAGAAAAAGATTACCTTGTAGCAAGTGTTTTCGCCCGTTAAGTTCATCCTGAACAGACGGGCAAAAACATTGAATGCGTTCAAAAAGCCTCGGGAAAAGTCACGCGTGCTTCCTTCTCTCCACGGATGAAGATTACGGTTTGAATCAAAATGGATATAATTACTCACGTCAATGAACGTGGAGTTTGTTGCAGTCTCACAATAGTTTCGAGAATAGATTCGAGAGATAATCACCTGAGACAAGCTGGTGCAGAGATTCTAGTGTGCAGGATTCATGCACCTGCAATCTACGTAATAGCGCTAGGGTATCAAGAGAATGAGTAACGTCGAGAAGGTTTCGACTATGCGGTCTCTATTAATAGTAGCCATCGGCCGATCGACTAAACGTACCCAACCCGCATAAATAATGACAAATTTGAAGAAGGTGAAGGCCCAGGCTGCCCTGATTGCTTCCCATGTGTGTGTTTACGTTCGACCATGAATGTGGACTGTGTCGACAGCCCCCCACCAGGCTAGGAGTGTACAGCCAGCAGAGACAGAACTAGCATAGCGCTCTCCTGTCGCTGTGGTGTCTGCCTGGTTAGCCAGAGAGCTACAGGCTCAGCGAGGTTGCACAGTCGCCGGACAATTCCCCTTCAAGCTGGGCCGGCGGCTGGGGGCTTTACTCAGGCGCCGGGGCCCCGGGCAGGCCCAAAACTAGAAGGCGTCGTATTTCCCACGGGCTCCTAGGCCCCGCCAGCGGGCCCCCGCAGCGGGCCCCGCCCCTTTGGTTGACCACAGCGGGGGACCACGAGCTAATAGTCAGCCCCGTGCTCCGTGGCGCCAGTTCAGTCAGGTCAGGTACGAGGTCAGGTCAGCACAGTTCCCTGTCAAGATTAACGTTAACGTAGGTACCCTGGCAGCTAAGTACGGCCCCAGAAGTCGATCCATCCGGCCCAAGTGCCCGAATCCGAATGTCAGTATTTGACGATCACGTTTCTGCCCCAGCTTGCTTGGCCCCCACGAGCAATGCGATTAGTCCAAAGTGATGCATGGCATTATACTTGAATGCGCGGCGCGATACACATCGCCATCAATTCCTGTGCAATGAATCTTATTTAACTGTAATTCAACTTTGCCACGTGCCTGAAATAAAAGTTTGCAAGCATATGGGATATGAACACGGACAATTCTTGCTTTGGCATGCTGACAGTCTTTGTTATTGCACCAGTACAAGTGCTTCCGCAAGTCAGCGTGAGCAATCATCCCACAGGATGTGCACACATGAACGGCATAAGGGTCAGAGTTTGCAAACATGCGATCGCGTAAGAAACTAGAGACGCCATGGGAGACAAGGCAGTCTCGTTCCATTTCACCCATGCGTAGACCTCCGTCTCGAGCCCGGCCTTCCATGGGCTGACGCGTCAGCATTGTTACAGGACCACGCGAACGAGCATGTATCTTATCATCAACGAGGTGTTTCAAGCGCTGGTAGAATGTCGGACCCAGAAATACCTTTGCATGGATCATTCGTCCTGTATGACCTGAGTACATGACTTCGTTGCCATGCCTGTGGTAGCCAAGCTCGTGCAACACCCCAGCAATCTGATCAACCGAAACATCAGTGAATGGCGTGGCATCACCTTCTTTGCCAGTAAGTGCACCTACCTTAGACTGCAGACATTCGACCAGGTGACCAATAGTCATGCGCGAAGGGATTGCATGAGGATTCACGACGATGTCAGGGGATACCCCATCCCGAGTCCAGGGCATGTCCTCCTGCGAATACGTCATTCCTATCGTACCCTTTTGCCCATGCCGCGAGGCAAATTTGTCCCCAATTTGAGGTATGCGAATTGTGCGTGTCCGCACTTTCGTAAACTTCATCCCTTCTTGATTGGTTGACAACATTACCTAATTCTTAATGCTAGCGTGTGAGATTTTGTTTGTTATATTACCTGATCAACGAGGCCAGATTCATTGGGACGCATTGCTGTTGATGAATCCTGTTTGGTAAACTGACAGTGATTTAGATTGCCATCCATTCCAAGGGGAGTTGTAGGGGCCGTTTTTCCAATAAGGATGTCAGCGCCTGAGACTCGCAATCCTGGAGCTACTAGACCATCGCAATCCACTTTGTCATATGAACCGTGTCGCATGGCCGTGCATTGGTCTCGAGTTGGCCTCTCGAAAGTCTCGTGAAAAGCTTCCCCTAGACCTCGGATACTTTCCTGATCAACGTAAGTGCGATAGAAAGTAGAACGGAACAGGCCGCGGTCGATCGCCGCCTGGTTCATGATTAGCGAGTCTTCCTGTGCAATTGCGGTAGGGAAGCGAGTAACCACGCATAAAAGAATACAAGGTTTCTGACCTGATTATAGCCTGTATAACACATGATGGCAACTATGGCATTAACGCCGCTTGGAAGTTCGCGGAAGTGAAGATGTTCCATCGCTCGAGTAGTTGCGAGTGGTTTCTGTGGGTAGTGTAGTACGTGTGAGAGAGTGTCCATGCGTTGCTGGAAATTTGAGGCATAGATACCCATGGCCTGTTTGCCCATAGCTGACTGATAAGTGTTTCGAGGAGATTGGTTGTGATCAGGGAAGGGAATAATAGACCCACATATACCCAGGATCATTGATGGATGTATTTCACAGTGAGTGTAAGTCGAGGAGTAAGTCTCATTCAGGTCGGACGGAACCATGGCAATCATGGTAGTTTCTTCCTCTTCTGTGTCAACCAGCTCTACCAGACCTTTTACAAGAAGCTGTGTCCACCCAAGTTCACCATTGACAAGCTTTTGGATGTGTGACTTACGCAATCGTAGTTCCTGGCGAGAAAATTTTGATATCTCCTCACGCACGTGCATGTTCGCATTTAATGCCTCTACAATAAGGAGTGGGCGGCACACACGCCCAGCGTCGGTGTATATACGAAGCTCTTTCTCCTTGATATCGCGAACAACGGAAACTTCAGGATCAATGTCGATTTGCCTTCGAAGAGATCGCAAAGTCGATTCCAAGGTTGATGGGTCACGATGAACACCAACCCAACTCCCGTTTACGAAGATTTTGGTTGTACCTGGGTCAGCAATCGTTTGCGGGGATATCTCCTCGAGGTTCTCCATGGACCACTCCTCGAGGAATTCAAGAATGGGGCTTTGGGGGCTGCCGACCGAAACATAAGACATCAAAGCTAGATTTTTGACAAGACCGACAGCCTGACCTTCTGGGGTTTCAGCGGGACAAATGAACCCCCAATGAGTGTTATGTAGCTGTCGTGGCTTAGCTTGTTTGCCTTCTCGTCCCAAAGGAGTGTTCAAACGCCTTAGGTGGGAAAGAGTCGATGCATATGTAAGTCGATTGAGTACTTGCGATACGCCAGCACGCGAAGCATCTTTTCGATCACCCCAGTTTCCGGTAGCTAGCGAATATCGGAGACCATCAGTAATCACACGTGACTTGATTGCAGACCTATGCAAGTTGAATTTATTCCACATTCTGCAAATAGACACGCACGCGAGGTTGAAATCACGACCCTCATCAATACACTTCTGTAGATACGCAAGTACATCTTTGGTAAGCTTTCGGAAAAGCATCCGGAACAACCCGCCGAGTAGTGGTCCAGCCAGATCAAGGCGTTTCTTGCCATAATGATCCCGATCATCTTCGTCAATGCGTTCAAGTGAGCACATCAGCAACTTGTGCACTATATATCCGACGAAAAAGGCCTTCTTCGTGTCTGATTGTTCCTCCGTGCCAACGTGTGGCAAAACTTCCTTCTGGAGCAGCTCCTTTGCATACTGAACGCGCTTCGAACGTCCAATATTTGTGGCACTTCCCCGACGTCCGATGAAATCTAGAGCAATAGTTTGGTTTTGAACCACAAAAGCCTCGTCTAGTGACGGTCTCAGCTGCTCCATCATCTCTGTATCTGAGAAGTCGTAAACTACATGTTCGAGAATATCACGATCTGCTACAAAACCTAAATTGTGTGTGCATGTCTCGGCTTCACTCACAGATCAATTTCACCTAAAGCTCGAAAAACGATGATGACAGGTACATCCACACGTATGTACGGTAAAGTCATGCGGATTTGATTTCCCTGAGATTGGCCACGACCTGCCTTGTTATACATTTGCATATAGATAGTGCTCGTCGGGCGTGCACCATGTTCCACGTGAGATCGGCATTCAACTACCCAAGAGTACCTGCCATCTAAGCTCAGCAAATATCATACAGTGCGATACTGACTTGTGAGGTTGCTTCTTCCGGAAGCAGTATACGTGATTATTGGACATACGCTCTTGTGCAACAACAACTTTCTCAGAGCCATTTATTACAAAGTAGCCCCCCTGATCATATATGCATTCTCCAAGCTCACAGAGCTCTTTATCAGACTTATCAGCAAGAACGCAAAACCGACTGCGTAACATGATCGGAACGTATCCAAGGAATTCTTTCGGTGAGTCAATTCTGTGGGTACTGCCATCCTCAGCCAACATTCTAATTCGACAGGCCGAGTTCACGCCTTCCTCTTCGACGACCTGGACTTGTTCATCGTCGTTATTCAATGGGCCGGCAACTTCATATGACACATTAGCATACCCGTTACTAAGGTGAGTAACAACACATGGGTACCAATCACCGTCAATTTCCAGCTCAGCTGCACAACCTTGATACAGCTGGGGTAAGTGTTTCTGCTCAACACAACTGATGTCCACATACATCGGGGATGAGTAAGTCATGTTACGCAAGCGAGCTTCATGGGGAAACATGTTACTTGTAGTACCATCTCGTTCGGTAGCAGTTGGTTTCGAGACGTACACTTGATTAAATAAGACAGCAAAGGTGCTACGCGTTACAGACTCCTGTCCAGGCGTGTATTGAGTCTCTGGCTTCACAGTCAGTTCACCGCTATCATCAACCAGTTCCTGCATGGTATTTTGGATGAACTCGTCGAAAGAGTCGAGCTGTTGTCGGACCAACCCCTTCTCCGCAAAATAAGCACTGATCACCGTCCACGCATCCTGAGTTTTGAAATCACACGCACATGCACAGACATCCGCACCTCTTGCGTAATTTCCATCGTGTCGATCGCCTACTCGCCGCTCGGTATTCGTCAACTTCCCCGTCTTCGAACGAGGGGGGTCTATGAGGTCCTGGCCATAACAGCAGCCTTCACAATACCCTGGACCCGATCTTTCAACAAACGAGTTCCACGGACAGGCGCCCAAGTTTCCTCAGCACCTACTGTTGAGTGACCGCACCTCACACATACGTGCAGCTATAGAAGAGGGACATTACTTCAAGGTAGGTATAAACCCTGAGCTGCAACTGTCAAAGTTTATTACAAAGCCACCCCGCAGCCTTCTCGGGCAACGCGCGCGCGTCCCGACGCAGACTGCGGACTTCTGCACCCCTTCGTGGGAGGAGTTTACCTTGCTTCCTTTAGCTTCAGGCTAGTGGCCAACTTGAAGTGGACCGTGACGAAAGTTGCATTTACGGCAGTACAATATGTTTCCCGTAACGAGTTAGTGAGCTATACCACCTACCATCATCCAGCTAAATAAAACTGCTGGCTGTGGTGGTCCTCTCCCAGCTCGCCGCTTCCCCGGGGACCGGGGTGGCGCGGCTTATTTTTTGAGTGCATATGGTTTCTACTAACATCCAAAATTTGGGTCTGACTGATGAATTGCTTAAGCATATGAAGTTGGAGCAGGGTGAGGTGACTGTGGCTACGCTGTCAGGCAAGTCCGTGGACTCGCCTATCCATGGTGGCATAATCCTGACTTGGATGTTTGAATTGGACGGAAACCACCTCACCAGTGTTCGGTTTGGAAGAAAGATTAGCAGTTCAAACTGGTCTTTCGGTTTCTCCTTTTGGTGTTGCCATGTAGTATGGTCCTCTGAGCACTGCAAATTTCTAGCTCGCCAAATCTGATGAGAGTCGCTGGGTGATCGACATGTCGCTGCAATCAGCGCCAATAAGCATTCGATTACATGATGTAAGACGACCAAGGGGATGCATCCAAACCCTTTACTGTGGAGAAAACGGGCTGCTGCAGCAACGATTTGCTAATCCCAGGACTGCGGACACTGTGGGTGCGGTTTGCGTGGGATGGATCGAGGCCACCGCAGCGTCCGGGATATTAAACATGGGCTGCAAAATCAATTGAATTATCGCTAGGCAATCTGCTGTCTTGCGGAGGCCTTGATAGCGTGCACAATTGTGAGCACCTTGCATTCCGAGCTGACAGGAGATCAAAGAAGCTTCACGTACGTAGCAGGTTGCATCCTTGAGGTGGCAGCCTCGAGCCTATACACAAGCGGTCGTTTGCGCTCGTTCTTGGGTGAGGACGATGTATTGGGCCTTGAGGCTTCGCCATTTCAATCCTGGTCTTCACAATTACTTGTAGTTGTTGTCGTGTCACACCACATACTCTATAGCTCTACCTTTGGAAACCTACTTCCAACACTATACAACAGTGCTGAGATTGCCATTGTTTCACCAGTCAGAGAGGAGCTCATCTTCCGTGGCTTAGTTCTGCAGGCTCTGATAAACCGGGTTCCGCTACACCCGAAAGCTTGTCTCACGGCGCAGGCGATGCTTTTTGGTGCGACTGCAGTGTCACCACAACTGATTTTCACGTGAGGATATTGAAGTGAACTATGAAATAGTAAGACGGTGTGAACGCATTCGATCTGTCAAGAGTGTGCAATAGATAACGCGAAAGTATATATATAGGCATATTCCACCTGACAAATGCAGCCCGCCGGCAGCGTCGTTTCATTTTTGTCCAGACCCTGTCTGCAATAATAACTGGCGCCTTCTACGGAGCTTTTTCCATGCATGTTCGTTGTCTCTGGGATACAGCATTCCTGCATTGTGTTCACAACGCAATTGCGTCGCATGCCTTCGAGATGAACAACACGATTATTCTCGACCTGAAAGCCCGTGCCATCCCGCTCGTATTTGGAATTGCACTTTACGCCGCTCTCCTTCGATATTCCCTGGGGCACATACCCTAGACACGTGCAGATGGCGGTTGTGCAAAGAGTCCAAGGCGCACCAGGGGCTGTGACTAGGTGGGATGCCTCGTTTAGTGTGGACCATAAACGCTATTCTAAGAGGGAAGGAACGGGAAGATTATCCTATATCTCTCTACATCCTTTATCATTCCTTTATATGTGCAGGTGATATAACCGCTAGGATATATCAGCCTGGATGTAAAGAATCTAAGTTCCGTACATCAACTTGATGTTAAGGTACAATCTTCAGAAGCAGGATGAGCGCAGTGGGTGAGAGAGGGGAAGCTCAGTGTTCATATCTGATACTATGTAGTACGGGACCGCGCTCCCGAATCAGGCCCAGAGGCGCCACTGGATAGCTGTCATCCCCGTTGCGCCGCCCGGCGACCACCCCTTCAAGGAACGTAACCGCCCCCTCGCCGCTTACCGTCTTAACCCGCGCACTTTATCGTCCACGTTCACGCCCGGCGACGCGGCAACCCGCGCCACAAAGGTGCCCGTGGCAGCTGTCTCGGCGGCCTCCGCTCGAGTCTCCGCCGGCCCGCACCAGCGCCGGTCGCCAGAGAATAAGGCCTTCTTGGCGGCGGCCTAGGCGCCGGATGACTCCCTGGCATATGCACCACCCCCCCACCCAAAAGAAGATTTCCCTGGGGTGCGCTCCAGGCGCACAATA